CCACCCTTGCAAGTGTTCACTTCAAGTTCGCACTGCCTTTAGTTATTCTACCTCCCATTGGCTTAAATATATTTGCAAAAGAACATTTTAATACATTGCCATTTTATGCTTCGCCATTAGCAATGTACCAAGGTTATAATAAGTGAATGACCCATTTCAAAAGTACCTTTGAATCGACTACACAAGTTAGGTGGATAAAATATAAATGAGTGGAAAATCCATAGCTTGCACTCAATGGCTTGAAACTTAATTAAAATGCACCCTTATTTGTCTCCAAAATTCCTACACAAATTATCCTAATCAGTGTGAGATGCGTGACTTCCTGAGTCGGACTACTGTGAAGGATGTCGCTGTGTTTGCGGTATGCCTCCCCGATGTGTTTAATAGTTGTACTGCGTGATGTTCGCCACAATGTTTGGTATTAAACTCCACGTGCTTGGGAGTTTCAATTTAAGTTTTTTTAAGAAGCTCCAGCACGCGGAGTTAAATATTGCACATCGTGCTGAACAATGCACATTACCACATGAGAACACACTGCAAAAGGTTGTGGGAGGGAGGCCTTGTGCGGTGCTACCAAAGGCAGATAAGCCACCATTATGCCGGTAGAAATTCATTATGTATGAATGTTGAACTTCTTTCAAACAGTACGTAGCTAACCGTGTTATTCGGAGGTACGGGGGAAGGACAACAAACTAAATTAAAAAAGCATTTGTAAAGAAATTAGTTTTGAATATAGATTTAAAAGTGTATAGTTCCAGTGGCGTCCTAATATCACAAGGAACAGCGTTCCAGGGGACCACAAAAACGCATCCAAAAGGGCCACGATGCGGTGACCGTCTTTGTTCAATGGCTAGCCATAAAAAAAAACACTTGGAGATGAGTCACTATTGCCCATTGCTATACCACTCGTGCTTTATGATATACAATACGGTACCATTTGGATTTTTAGAGCATCTACACACGTACCACATCTCCAGACATTGTACGAATAAATTACATTGTACAACAAAAGGTGTTAAGCCTGGACTTTTAACACCAGCCCGGCAAGGAGTTGGCAGTGCGAGCGGCCGAAGGGAGGGCGTTTTAGAGGCGGGAGGTGAGGCCGCAGGGAGGAGTGACCCCTCCCCCCAACTCAACCGAATGTTGACTTGAGGCTTCAACAGAAAGCCTTGGTTTCTGCAGCAGAAAATGCTCGATGGGAGTTGAGAGAAGTGAGAGGGGTAAAGGCAGGCATGTACAAGTCCATAGAAAACCTTGAATATGGAGAAGGAAATCATTTGGTCGATATGGGACTGGATTTTGGGCCAGTTGAGGAAATGGGGTATTGCTATTGTCTATGTTTTTATTCATATATCGTAACAGCTAATATGCACTGAATGGAAACTCTTTTATTGAGACATGTTCTTATGTGGACACTGCTCTTGCTCACCATAATAACTCATAATTTTTATTGTATCCCATATTCAGAAATTGCCCAAGGTATACATACTCCGATGTGTTTTCAGTTGTGTCCCTCCAACAAATGTCTTCATTCATATCTTGATGCTACAATGGTGAGTTTAAATGGTATGACTTAAATATTTGAGAGGTCTGCCAAAAACAGATCGAATGAGATGAAGAATTCACCTAAGATTATGACGGATAATTATACACAATCTTAATTTGGAGCTTTCGTAACTGCAGGGATTACTCCTTGGTTCTTTCGGTAAAGTCACGTATAAAGATAAAATAATAAATTAAATAATAGCATACTACGACGTTTCGATTGCAACACAAGCAATCATCATCAGGTATAAAAGAAATAGCAACAAAAATCTAACCAGAAAACTATAGACAGACATATAAGCAGACAGATATCACAAAGATACACAGAGAGAGAACACGTATCGGCACAAAGAGAGAGATCGTCTCTGTGACGAGGCCTTACATAGAGGTTGGGCGGGGGCGGAGAGAAGGAGGGGGCAAAGAAAATGATTGCTTGTGTTGCAATCGAAACGTCGTAGTATACTATTATTTAATGTATTATTTAATCTTTATACGTGACTTTACCGAAAGAACCAAAGAGTAATCCCTGCAGTCACGAAAGCTCCAAATTAAAATTGAACCACTTCTACAGGGAAGTTTTAAGCTTATCTTTTTTCTCTCTCTCTGGGTTTTTTGTTTTCTCTCTCTGCCTGTGTCCTCTCTTTGGAATTTTCACACTTAAATTCTAACTTAGCAATCTTTTAAATACGTAATCAACCAGGCTATGCGTTAATTGTGTGTTGACCGACTCTCTGTGTTGCATTACATTACATTTAGATAATTTGCTAGGTTATTTAATTTTAGTGTGTCTCTCTCCCGTTCACCTAATTTTCAAGCTTGCGTACCGTACCACACGTCGTCGTTCTCATTGACATGCTATTTTTTTCTTTGCCCCCTCCCTCTCTCCACCCCCGCCCACCCTCTCTCTATTTAAGGCCTCGTCACAGAGACGATCTCTCTCTTTGTGCCGATACGTGTTCTCTCTATGTGTATCTTTGTGATATCTGTCTGCTTATATGTCTGTCTATAGTTTTCTGGTTAGATTTTTGTTGCTATTTCTTTTATACCTGATGACGATTGCTTGTGTTGCAATCGAAACGTCGTAGTATGCTATTATTGAATTTATTATTTTATCTTTATACGTGACTTTACCGAAAGAACCAAAGAGTAATTATACACAATTTGATAAAGGAGGTGACATGATGGATAGCATTACACAGGTGCAGGGACTGTGTTTAGGAATACAATTGCAAAGTAGTTGCCAAGTTTCTGCCTGTTATTAATTTTAGGATGAGATGTAGGCATGGAGGTGTGACAAGTTGAACTCAGTCTGCAGACAATGGACAATGAAATTGTAATGGAACTCGACAGCTCGATTTTTTCAGTAAGAATCGTCAAGTTATCTTTGATTTCCAGTTTCCAGTTGAATGTGACACAAAATGACACATGCATCACCAGATTAGGACCCATATGAGATGCTGATGAATACATTATATGAGTGCAGGAGATGTAAAAAAAAGCCTAGACGATACATGGCTGCCGAATCAGACTCAGATCTTGCAACCTTGCTGATACAGAAAAAGAGTGTAAGTATGTTGAACTTTTTTCGCACAGTACGCGGCCAAGGATGCTCATCAGAGGTGTGGGGGAAGGATAACAAACTTAACACAAATAGCAGTTCTAAAATAATTAGTTTTCAATCTATATATTTTTACTGTTTTTATTTCAACTCAACGCTAGCCCAGTACAGAGTGCCAATCACAGAACAAGAAGGGAGGGGGGGGGGGCAGAAATTCCACGAAGAAAAGCCCGAGATCGGCGTGCCAGGATTTTGTGAAGGGGGTAAGATTGGGCCCATTGCCCCACCTTAGGTGGGGGGCCTCTAGCAAAGAAATAAACGTTTCAATGGGAGTGGTGGGGGGAGGGTTGGGGAAAGAAAAGATGGAAGATAACTAACATAAAAGGGGATAAGGAGGACAGGAATTTTTCAATCGAGATGATTGGAAAGTGCATCACTCCAGTGGCTTCCTAATATCGGAAGGTTGAGCGTTCCAGATGGCCGCATAAGTGAATCTGAAAGCGGCCAATGGAGCGTGACCTTAATGTCTTCGTTCAGCAACTGGAAGGCAATGCAACTTGGCGAACACTGAGCAGACATGGTCAGATCTTGCAGTACCCGTCATGATACGTGCCAAAGAATTGTGTACATTAATCAGATCCAGGTTAATCAGATCCAAAGAGACACAATGGGAACGGTATAAAACATCTGTGTTTGAGACAGCGGCGGATGTGCCAGGTTTGAAAGTAAAAATAAAACAAAATGGTTAACGCAATGAAGATTAAATCAAGTTTTTGGTAGCTATAAAGGATTTGCAAATGATGAATCGAGCTGCATTAAATGAACAGAAGGCAAGACATTAGAGAAATACTGGCATAGGAAAGGCAGTATTTGGAAATATCAAATAGGTGAAATGGAAGATGCTACACGAGGTGCGTGTGAATTCTAACTCATGCGAGATGTTGCACAGCATAAAGTTACATTTTCCTTTCATTACGCATCTTTTTCATTTATTTCAGTTACCAATCTTACCACACACCTTTTCAGGTGTGAGCAATGCATTGGTATGCTGTGTGGTCATTTTCATAGCAATGAATGTAGGAGTTTTATAGTTCTCATGAAAACACATGAGGTGTCCTTGGTTGTTGGACAGAAGTGATATTTCCTGGGTAGAGCAACACAAATCCTCTCCACTGCCTCAAATCAACGACAGCATTCACAGTATGGCATTGAAAAGCCTTGAATATCCTAAATTGCTAATACTTGAATATTTCGGTCTTCATGTTTTTGAATTGTTTATGTTTGATTTGTCTTATAATATACAATTCCGTATTTTTAGTAATTTATCATTCATCATGTTTACACATTTTAAGGAGGTACTTTGTTATCATAGGTAATTTCTCACTGAAATACATTTTATCATGTAATTCCGTGGTGTGTTATACATTGCAGATTAACAGGCAACAATTGAACTTGCAAAAAAAAACATCTCCATGGACCAATAACATATTATCAAAACATATGTAAAGTTTCTAGTTGTTTCTAAAAACTTGGATGTGAAAGAGATTAATATGTAGTTACGTTGCATTGGATGTAATAATGAAACAAATAATATGCAATTTATAAGGGAAGTCGTTTTTTTGATTAATTGAGACATTCGGAGAAATATACTTTCATTATCTCGTTGTTTCCTGCTAGGATTTGGATGGTTGGTGCAGATTGTAACATAGAACTCTGCGCATGAATTGCCTTTTTTTGAGGGGTGAGTTAGGGGAGAGGGTGGAATTCAAATATAATTTTATATATATACAAACAAGGCAGCCAAATGAACCGCCATAATTCTTTAAAATTGACCATTTAAATATTCAAACAAAAATTGTTAATCGTGTGTACCTTCAAAAACCACTGTGTTTGGCAGGCCGCAAGGGACTGGTTACGTGGCTGAAGACGAAGATGGGAAGGCTCGGGGCTGCACCCTGCAATCACAGCACGCAACCCTCAAAGTGTGGACCCACTTCATTGCCTCCAACGACGTCGGCCAGGTCACATCGATGCTGGGATCTGATTGGCTGGTTGACGTGACATTCCTGGTGAAGGATCACGTGACCGTGAGGAACCCAGCGATCGCACGCGTTCGCCACGGCACCATCGTCGTTGCGCAGCAGCCTGGGCGAACCTTCGTTCAGGTGAGTGACAAACGGCGTCTCTCCAAATGAGTGTTTACGTTGCAGTGGTCGTGCTGTTTTTTTTAAAGACAAACGATGGGGTTGCATCTTGTATTCCGGTATGTGTGTGTTACCAGATTTGCATAACTGTATTGGCACCGAACACAAGTTTGGAATGCATCCTACTTTCCGGAGCATATTATAATCCAGAGAATACGGTAACTATCAGTAAATCTAAATTAAATACCGCTACATTTGGCTTCCTGTCTTTCTTACCTGTCTTCCTTACTCTCAGAATATTTTTTATGGGTCATGCTATTCGCGCCGAATTGCACTTTTGTATATTGAAAGTCTAATCTGAACTTTGAACTACAGATGCAACTTCCTGGTGAAGGCTGTTGCCTTGTTTGCCACATGTTTTGCCAGTGATTAAAGTTTGTAATACATCACCTAAGATTGTACTTCATTTGAGTTGATTGTATCGTCATGTAACAAATTTACTAGTGGTACAGGATCAATTTCTGAATCAGAATTGATTATTTTTGTTGTTATAATATCAATGTGTTAATAATTATTTTTCCCAGAAGTAAAATGTTAAGTGTGCTCTCCTGTCTAATAATTAATCCAGGGAACATTTGCACTTAATTATAAGTCTTATTTTTGTATTAAGTAAAATGCACCCACACCGTATACTGATATATAAACACGTGACAGACAAATATAATCCCAATAGATTGATCAGGATTTGATTTTTCCATTTCGTGATTGGATCATCGAAAATCACAATCATATACAATGCGTTAAAATCTTTTTTGTTTTTGATTTTACATGACGTTGTGAGGTAGTGTCAAACCTAACGTCCTATTTCTTACATATCAACATCATGAGTAAGGGCTATCTGAATGTCTGATGTAGGGGTTGTGGGACCCCAAATGCTCAGGGCGGCCACAAAGTTCCTGAGCATGAGTGGTAGAATTTGCAATGGCAGATGGGCCACCAGTAAGCCACTAAGCTAGGGGCATCCACCAACACTTGGAGAGGATGAGCTGCTGCTCATTACTTTACCATCCACCAAATACAACATCATGACATGAATTCTGATTAAATGTCCCATGATGGCACAAAATCTGTGCATTATCCCCAGGTACGACTGCAGGTGTAGACAGTTGGCTAGTTCACTCTATTTCCCCAGCTGAGGAATCACTGTTGGGTATCTGTAATATCACTCGAAGTAAGATGATAAGGGAGTACCACGATAGCCCTGAGCAAGAAGAGTGCAACAGTTTTTCAAAACATTTACCAAAAGAAGGTTATATATAAGTATGCTGGATAATGGGCTTAAATGGTCCATAATACATTTTTTTCTTGGATTAGATCGCATCAATTTCATTGTGTCGTTAAACCCACCACTACCTGACACAGCCAATTAGTAAGGTTTGTCACGTAAACACAACATGGCAATCAGGTACTAGTACAGCACATTGGTGTGTTGGAGAGTAAATCCACAACATATACAATGAGTACGACGTTTCGCCAGTAATTACAACTGTCATCATCAGTTGGCGTCATCAGCATCATCAGTAAACCTGTATTATGGATGATATTTGTCACGAAAGCCTACGTGTTAAACCCAGCTTAAATGGTATAGTGTAGTGATTTATGGGGTTGGTGATGCACCGTGGATATATTCCCAAGATATAGTGATGTATCCTTTCGTAACGCAGGCTCATAGATGTCTTCAAGCAGGTGTTGCGAATTTCATTGGGAATACGAATTTTAAAATACAAAAAATTCTGCCAAAGCATAAGCAGATATTCGATTTAAAGCTTTCGTGACTGCAGGGATTCTTCTTCTTGGTTCTTTCGATAAAGTCACGTAGAAGGGAAGTAATAAAATAATAAAAATAAAACATAATAAAATAATTATTTTATTATGTTTTATTTTTATTATATAAGCAGATAATTCCATTGATGATGCAGTTTAACTATTGTGATGTGACAGTATTTGATCTTAACTTCACCACTTCAAATATGAAGATTTACAATGACAACAATTCCAGATAAGCACTAGGGGCCGGTTTACACCTCAAATAAAATATATCAGAACCCTAAACACTATGGGTAGGATATTCTTGGCTGGAGATGAGACTGATTGGGGTGATTGGTCCAACAGTGAAAATGATGGAAATGTGGTGGATGTTCAAGCTGTAGTAAATTCTTCATGATAATTTTGCATGCAATTTAATTGTACATGTATCATTGTCTGTTAACATATTAATACAATAGTCACCCTTTATCTATGAGACCTCCTTTACCAGTGGCAAAATATAGTAGTAGGTGTTTACCCTTTAAACTGGTACAAAACTGACACCTTTATACAAAGCATCATGTTTGCAATAACCACAACACAAGCAGTCAAAATGCAGACAAAAAGAAACAACTCTGATAAAGCATCATGTTTGTTTTGTATAAAGGTGTATCATTTTCAGAGTTGTTTCGTTTTGTTTGCATTTTGACTGCTTGTGTTGTGATTATTGCAAACATGATGCTTTGTATAAAGGTGTCAGTTTTGTACCAGTTTAAAGGGTAAAAACCTACTACCACCCTTTATCTGTTTAATGTTTCTGTGACGTTAATGCAATTGCACTATGATCAGTCAAAAACAATCGACCCAAGTTACGTATGCTGCAGGCAATGCACTATTTAAAATTGATATGTTTTTTAATTTTTATTTATATTTGCTTCATTGCTGTACTGCATTTAACTTGTTTTGCTTTTTTTTTTGGTGATCTAGGTCACTTTGGCAAATGAGACTCTATGTTGGTTTCTTAAGTTCTCATCTGGTTAAAAAAATATTTAAATGTAGACATAAGACTGATGGAACTTTTTATCAAACGATGCTTTTGGTAGCTACTGAAGAATAGCTAAATATAATGTAGGCTCATGCTGATAGCACAAAGGCAAGAAATTAAACAACTATGGCTCAGAAAAGGACTTTTTTTTGGCAGGTTCAGAAAGAGGAAATTTAAAATGATAAGACAAACAGGAACAATAAGAAATGTATATCTTTATTTAACAGACTTAAAAAAGAGAGAGGGGGGCCAGAAGGCTTATGGGTAATAGTGCTGAACTAGCACTGGTGATATCTTGGGCCTGAATCCTGGAAGCCCACCCTGTGATTAAACTTGGTTGTCAAGTGTGTTGAGTTGATGGTCTCAGCCTGGTCACCAATGATTGCATGCAAAAAAATCAGCCGGTGTAAATTTCCTCCGTTCAATATACTGAGGACAGAGGCGTGCTTGACATTCTGAGGTTTATTTATGGGAATAAAGTTAATTTAATTTTAAAATTCTCCATTTGGGCTCCTACATGTCCACTTTCTAGGCTATTTTTTTAAGTTGTTCAATATCCTCACGTGCTTGCCGGCTGTGAGTCTAGTCGATGTTTTCCTCTCTCATTCCTCTGTCCAATGTCAAATTTACCAACCATCCTCTCGTCTCTTGTCGACCTTTGCATTGACATCTCCCATCATTGTGCTGACTATGGTAGAAGGCAGATACTACAATCTGAGCATTATAGCCAGAAGTAGTAGCACCAATTATATTTTCATAATCAGGCAGATGATACAGAAGAGTGTCGTAATATCCCAATGAGCCTCATGATTATTTGCAAGCTTTAAGGAAGCATGTGTTTGGGGAAAATAGGGCTGTGAGAACTTTAATGTTTTGGAATTCTTGGGGAGATAAGCAGACCACTTAATAATGTGGATTGTTAGACATGCGTGTGGCCTGATGGACAACTATTGGTTTTAGGTGAAAAACAGAGTATGGCAAGGGTGTATTTCGTTCCCCACATTGTCTTGCATTCACCAAAGGCATTTATAATTATCATAAAGATAGTGAAATACTAATATATCAAAATCTGTCATTTGCAACTGAGAAATGTGTTATATGCCTTGTAATATAAATACAACTGTAGAGGATGTAACTTTGGATTTTAGAATAACACATAGACTATGTCATAGATTATATTAGAAATAAGTAATTTTAATCGGTGGACTGCATACAGTATGCAGGATAAGAGAGAGCAGGTAACTGACACAGGCATCAATGGCATCCAGAGGTCAGCAACCAAAGGGAAGACCGATAGCCAGAGGGTGAGGTTCTGTAAAAGTGGACACGCAAGGTCACATGCATTTTTTGCAGTAACTACAGGATCTATGTGAAAGAGGCAATGGTGATATGTGGTGGCATAAGAAGCATTTTCCATAATTAACTATTTACTTTGACCTTGCTTTCCACAACAATATCATCAACATACATACGAGAATTTCATACATAATATAACCTAGAATACATACTATAATACTGGAATCTTGGAGGGATTCTTTTGAAATAGCCAGAAAGTTATGGCAGTAGTGTATTTATATGTTGTAATATATGCCATACAGTGAAACATGTTTATTCTTGCATTGATGAATGCAGAATAAAGTTGACTTGATAATAAAATTATGCAGCCGTTATTTACATGTAATAAAAGGCACACTGTGGCTATTATGTTTTATACCTCACTGCAATAAAAATCGACACAGACGTGTAAAGCTTCCATACATTAGAAGGCTTGTGGTTTTTACAACCTTCTTAAATGAATAACACATTCAGTTTCATGTCCTTTGTTCATTATAATTCCTTGGTCTAGAATATAGGTGACACGTTAAAATATGTATTCATGAACATTTCTTAGCATAGATTATGGGTGACACAAACAGTTCTGGGCTGTGTGTATACTGTATTTATAAGGTCTTTGATTTTTGCACGGAAATTAAAACTCACATGTACCAGTTCATCTGCATGTACGTCTCTTGGTATATTATGTTATTTAAAGAAAGACTGCTATTCTGCAATGGTTTACCACTTTCTTAAATCACACAAAAGACCGTGAAATTGTGTTACAGTTTCAGAGTATTTTTGTCAGTATTTTTAATTCACTTATTTTAACCGAAGCGAATTATTATTTTCTATT